GTTCTCTATGCTCTATCTGTAGCGCTCTATTGTACAAAGTGTTAACTACCAGCGTTGTTCCGGGCCTCCTGCATATGGATACGGTCGTTCCTTACGAAACTTTCTTGGAGAGAGTCGAAGATGAAAGATGTGACAAGTTCTGTTGGCGATCTTTTCCGCCGGTGCTCTCTTGATCTATCTCCGATGAGAAATTTTATTTTATTATTTCGTAAAACGAGAAAAAGATCGAGGAACGAGAAGGATGTTGCATATCATAGTATATAAATATAAAAAAAAAAATGATCAATTATTTATACAATTTGGAATCTCGGAGGATGCAGTTATGCAAACGAGATTTCAATAATTGCCACTAGTTCACATTTCACGACTGTTTCTGTTTGTCAGAATTTAGGACTCTTTGTTCTTATCTGTTTAATAAAATCGCTATGTTACAAACTAATAAAAAGATTGCAATCACGAAAAAGTGATACAAATTGTAGTTTATCTCTGTTTTATGGCTACATTATTTTTTCCACATTCTAATTTTATATCTATGCTGTGGAACAACCTAATTTTCTTGTAATTTACCGCTGTGTTTATTGCGTGAAGGAATAATTTCACATTCTATAAACGACAAGCAGTAATAATTAAATTTTCATATAATTTTTATATACCCTTCAATTATCGTTAGTCATACGTATGGCTTCTTTTAACATCTCGGACAACAACATGATACGTTTACAGTTAGAACATATTAGTAGTAGCGAAAAAATAGAGACGGCCTCGCTACCTAATTTCTAGAAAACCCGAGAAACTTCGTTTGCGTGTCGTTTGTGGAACGTTGAAAAGCAAAGACGAGCTCTTTTAAAAATCTGTGACTAAAGTCAATTCAGAAATCGATGTTCACGAGGAGCAATCCACGGAGCAATCACTTTTAAGAAAAACTATAGGAGGTCGATAAATTAGATCAAAAGTGATTGATAAGATACGATAATTTGACTCTGTGCAGAACATAAATATATAAATAGTGTGTCGATGTGCGCATTTTTTGTTCGATCTAAGATATATAATTTATTTCTATTTTAAAATCTATTTCTCTTTTAATATCTATTTCTATTATAAAAAAACTTTTAGTTAACTAATTAATTAATTTGGTAATATTTATTAAAAGTTTCCGTAAAGTATCTTCATTACAAGTTTCTACTAGTAGTCTCTACTATAGAAAATATTTAATTTAATTATTTCTGTTAAGAAATAATGATCGACAATGGTAAATTGTTTATTATGTTAATATTATGTGATCACGCATTTGTACATTATTTTTATATATTTCCTTTGTTCTCTCTCTCTCTCT